GGGCAAAAGTAGAGCTGCAAATGAGCCAAGCTACTCACGAGCAACTCGAGGCTCAGATCGTGAAAAACTCGTTTGATACTCGGCTCGATTTTTAACGAGCTGGCTCGTGAGCCAACTCATTTGTTAATGAGCCGAGCGTGAGCCAGAGTCTCTTCAACTCGTCAGGCTCGTGAGCTAGCTCGACTCGTTGGCTCGTTGAGCCAGGTTCGTGAGCTGGCTCGATAGTGTGGATCAAGAGTTAACTCGATTAAAACTCATTAGACAACTTGATATTGTTGCTTGAAACTTAAGTCAATTTAAACTAATAAGTCAACTTGATAGTATGGCTCGCAAACCAATTCGATTAGCTTCTTATTACGTAGCTCTCGGACATACCTATTGTTAGTCACATAACCCGTTGGCTGTTTAGATTACATATTATTAGTTATATAAGTCGTACTCGTATGTTTCTTTTAAGATAATGATGACATATGTTGAATTTTATAATTAGGTGCTATTGAAAGGATTCGAACATGAGACCTTCAGGTTCAATACTAGTGATAATACTACTACAACAAGCCTCGTGTGTTGGTTATGCTACATATCTTACTAATCAGTGTGGTTTGACTTTTGATTACTATAAGAGAGCATGAGACGTATGGACAAACAATGATAATGTGTTAAGAAGATGAGATTTCTTTTTTGTAGCTAGTTTAAATATAACAAAAAAAAAAACTCTGATTAAAAGTTTCCAATGTAGAGTTGCTTATCAACACATATATGCAACGCCATACCAGAAGTTTCTAAGCATTTTTTGAAGTGAACCCAATCCATCTCTATGCCCTCTGGTAACTGCTAATTAATAGATTCTCATTCCCAATTCCAATTCCTCTGTTAGGCCTCTGTCTACTCCAATTCCCCCAATTGCCTCTGTAAAGGTAAAGTAGATAAACTTGAATTATGAACCTGACTTCATCCTTTGTAAAAATCATAGTAGAAACCGCAATAGAGTCATATTTCAGAACTTCGAACATTTCAATTCAAAAGAATCAGAACCATTTCTATAACTATTTTTCTATCGATAGATCATCTGTAACTTCCTTGGTCAGACACTCAGTTGCCTTCTGATTACTAGGACATGTATTCCTTATCATCCACCCCACCTTCAAACAATATATGCTACCTTGTACTATATACGATGAAGCTGAAGATGGAGGGTTCGTGGAGTTGGACGAAGCTTCCAACAACGGCTCTTTAAATTATTTTCGCAGTAGTAATAAGCAGAGGCACAGTGTGGCAACTTCGTGGAGGTGCAGTAAAGGGGATCTCGTGCTAGCGAATTGGACGATAGCTAGTGGGAACTTTGAAGCTGCTTCAGATGAAGGTGGCGCTAATGGTGGGATGCTGCTTTTTCTATCTCTTTTCTACCACATCGGTGGGCAAACTAGATCTCATGTTTCCACCAATTATATAATAGTGATGAGACTATCCACCCAAAATATATCATAAAGAGGTATGTATAACATGTGGCCTTTTTGAAATGCGCCACGAGTTTGCTATCTCTTCTGGGTCCAAGATGGCTACATAGTAGCCGTCCAAAGGAATATTGGGTTGTGAAAGCACATATGAAAGCGAGCAACTTAAAGGTGGTCTCGATGAAGTGGGCTTGTTGAGCTCCTTGATGAGTTGTTGTCGAGTTAAACTCGAGCTGAACTTTTTTTTATTGACCCGAGCTCGAGCTTCATTTTTTTAGCTCGTCGCGAGTTCGAGCCGAGCTCAATCTTAGAAATTCTCTTTCGAGCTTGAGCCTGAGCTGGGCAAAAGCTCGGCTCGTTTGCAGCCCTAGGCAAAAGTATAGTAGATTGGAAAACACGTTAAGGGTTGGGCATTGATGTATTGATGGAATTTTGCTAGTAAGTGTTCTATGTTCCGCATAATTCCTAAATTCAATACGTAATTTAAAATTTTGAGATAATAATTTGATACTTACAAATATTTCCCACTTAGCATGAGAAGTTTTTCTAAACAAATAAGCATTAGCCTACTAAACTAACCTATGATTACGAGTTTTAACAAATCCATTGATAAGGAAATCTAGTTGGGGAAAACACCGAGAATGAACTTTGTTCTACAACAAAAAAAATTCATCTCAAACAAAATAGCTGGTCAACAAAATTTATTGTTCAAAAACCAATAGTAATTAAATCATAATGGCAATCAAGGAAGAACATGGATGGAATTTAAGCTGTAAATTATATACAAGGCTCTAAAAATATATATATCAACCTTTAGTTTGCAACTTGTGCCAATGAAACATATTAATTAGCTAATCTGCAATCAAACTAATATTTGTTTCATCGTATGATTAACCAATTGGTGAAATTCATAGCGCATATCAATACACATATTGAATAGGGAGAACTAATTTTTCATAAATATATAAAGACAATGTCTACTACATTGATTATTCATAGCTCTCGCCTTGTGAAATCATCATCATTAGCCAATAATAATACAACAACACAAAGAACCAGAAATGGTGAGAACAATCAGAATGAATATTTTCCCGGGGAACTATCTCCATCCTCATTTTGTGGCTATCATGGTCTTTGCAATCCTCTTGTTAGTTTGCATGACGATCATTTGTGTTGTGGCGGCTTCGTTGATTGTGGTAATAATTTACATCCTTTACGACTTCATTTATTGGCGGGTGGTGGAAAACAGTCGTGGCCTAGAAATTGAGTCTGATCTCGAGGAAGGAGTCGAGAGAAGAAGAAGACGTCGTCACAGGAAGTATTGTAGGGTGATGATGGAATTGCCCTGTGTTGAGTATGGAAGCGTTGGGTTAGAGACCACATCTAGAGAATGTGCGATTTGCTTGGAGGATTACAATGGGGGAGAGCCATGCAGAATAATGCCTGTGTGCAAACACATGTTTCATGTAGCTTGTATTGACAACTGGCTTAGCGTGAAAATTACGTGTCCTGTTTGTCGACAACGCATATTCAATTTGAGGAATGATAGATGATTTATATGCATTTAATTTATATAGCCATTATGTAAGAAACAAACTGTAGCCATTATAAATAGTGTTCTTAAATTGTTACCTTTTCTTTTGAATCTATCAAATTTGATTGCATTCCTTGTCTTAACATTTATTACGAGCACATTTTTAAACATCTCTGAATTCTTCATATAAGTTCGTCAATGGTACATACTACACAGTCCATACCATGGTTCGTGATACGGACTGTCCGGTTGAACTGTTGAACCAGAGGCAGCCTGGAACGATATGTACTGAATCTTCAAATTCCCATGTCGGCCGGTATTTTGGGTCGAACTGGGAAATACCAGCCTGTTTAGGTTCAATTGGGCATCCTAATAAAGAATTTGAAAAACATTAAAAAGAATATAATATAAACCTAATTGCTCGCCTCTCATGCGATAAATCCGGCATGATCCCACGGAACTCAAATCTTTCGAGCAAAAAGTGGAATTTGTTATGAAACTAATGACGGAGTGGGCATGTATTTTTAGCTGAAGGCAGCATCAACGTGTGTAAATGTGTTAGAGACACGTGATGAAGGGCACATAGGCACAAATCATGTGGCTAGCCAACAATTTGCGTCAACCTAAATGGACCAATCACAGCGAGATTGCTATCATGTCCAACGATATGTGTATACTTTTAGTCGTGTGATAAGATATCATGCATCCTAAATGGTGCGGCAAAGGACGCGATATATGCATTCTCAAGTGGAGAAATCGCTAGCCTCCAGTGAGATAATGGTTTGTCGCACTCCACGGTAGCGATAGACAGTATTTTGGAATATCCCCAATATGGGAGAGCTCGAAAAGGACTGCTAAGGTTAGGTGTCTCTAAATAGAAGTCCTTTACTTTTAAATCGCTCCAACCTTCGCATTTTACTAGAATGTTACAGCTCATAGAATTTTAAATTTTTATTAATTGATTGCGACATATGATTGGTTTTTTGCTAAATAGCTCTGGTCCTCAGCGATCTGCTTACAATATAGTTAAAGATGTCATAGATTGGGTAAAAGTATAGTAGATTGGAAAACACGTTAAGGGTTGGGTATTAATGGAATTTTGCTAGTAAGTGTTCTATTTTGCGCATAATTCCTAAATTCAATACGTAATTTAAAATTTTGAGATAAGAATTTGATACTTACAAATATTTCTTACTTAGCATGAGAAGTTTTTCTAAACAAACAAGCATTAGCCTACTAAACTAACCTAAGTTTACGAGTTTTAACAAATCAATTGATAAGGAAATCTAGTCGGGGAAAACACAGAGAATGGACTTTGTTCTACAACAAAAAAAATCATTTCAAACGAAATAGCTGGTCAACAAAATTTATTGTTCAAAAACCAATAGTAATTAAATCATAATGGCGACCAAGGAAGAACATGGATGGAATTTAAGCTGTAAATTATGTGCATGGCTCTAAAAATATATATATATTAACCTTTAGTTCGTAACTTGTGCCAATGAAACATATTAGCTAATCTGCAATCAAACTAATATTTGTTTCGTCGTATGATTAACCAATTGGTGAAATTCATAGCGCATATCAATACACATTTTGAATAGAGAGAACTACTTTTCTCTTAAATATATAAAGACAATGTCTACTACATTTGATTATTCATAGCTCTCACCTTGTGAAATCATCATCATTAGCCAATAATAATAATAATACAACAACACAAAGAACCAGAAATGGCGAGAACAATCAGAATGACGTCGCAGAATATCACTAGTATTGCCCCGGGGAACTATCTCCATCCTCATTTTGTGGCTATCATGGTCTTTGCAATCCTTTTGTTAGTTTGCATGACAATCATTTGTGTTGTGGCGGCTTCATTGATTGTGGTAATAGTTTACATCCTTTACGACTTCATTTATTGGCGGGTGGTAGAAAACGGTCGTGGCCTAGAAATTGAGTCTGATCTTGAGGAAGGAGTCGAGAGAAGAAGAAGACGTCGTCAGAGGAGGGTGATGATGGAATTGCCCTGTGTTGAGTATGGAAGCGTTGGGTTAGAGACCACGTCTAGAGAATGTGCGATTTGCTTGGAGGATTACAATGGGGGAGAGCCATGCAGAATAATGCCCGTGTGCAAACACATGTTTCATGTAGCTTGTATTGACAATTGGCTTAACGTGAAAATTACGTGTCCTGTTTGTCGACAACGCATATGCAATTTGAGGAATGATAGATGATTTATCTCAATTTAATTTATATAGCCATTATGTAAGAAAAAACTGTAGCCATTTTAAATAGTGTTCTTAAATTGTTACCTTTTCTTTTGAATCTATCAAAATTGATTGCATTCCTTGTCTTAACATTTATTACGAGCACAATTTTAAACATCTCTGAATTCTTCATATAAGTTCGTCAATACATAGTCCATACCATGGTTCGTGATACTGAACAGTCAACCGTTGAACCAGAGGCAGCCTAGAACGATATGTACTGATTCTTCAAATTCCCATGTCGGCCGATATTTTGGGTCGAACTGGGAAATACCGGCCTATTTTGGTTCAATTGGGCATCCTAATAAAGAAATTGAAAAACATATAAAAGAATAAAATATAAACCTAATTGCTCGCCTCTCGTGCGATAAAACCGGCAGGATCCCGCGGAACTCAAATCATTCGAGCAAAAAGTGGAATTCAATTTATTTCCCTTTTCTAATAAAATCAATTTCACATAAACTATATGTATTACTCCAAATTAGTTTTTTATTGTAAGATAATACAAGCGGATCAGGTGTTTAACCTTATGGTCAATAACCTTCCATCACCTGCCACATCAGCGCCACATCAGTGCCATATCAACGCCACATCAGTATATATGTAAGACCATCTCCATCCCTATCAATTGCTAAACGTGGTCCCTACAACCACCTCATCAAATTTAGCAATTTCTCTTAAAGGAATTGCAAACCACCTACATCCCTAAATTTTGTTTGCAACTGTTATTGTAGGCCCAACTACTATTTTAAATACCAATATATTTTTTTTCATTGAAAAGTTACTACTAAGTAAAAGAAAAAGAAAAGCATATACACATATGGCATTGCTAAAGGACTTGCTAATTTGGCAATTTTTCTAAATAAGCAATTGCCTCTCCATCCCTTGCAATTGCAAATTGAATTGCCACCAAGACTTTGTCAATTGCTAAAGGTTGGTTTAGCAATGGGATGGAGATGCTCTCCCATCACCATTTTCCCTATAAATTTAACATGTTAGATCTCTTTCGTTTTAGGTCGCAATTTAAATTTTTTACACAGATAAATCAGATAAATTATGCTCTTCAAAATTATATTCATTTTGATATATTTTTGGAACAAAAAAATTTGAGACATTTAGTACTAGTATATACCATGGTGGTACTGCTTGGCACTACATGAGATCATACCACGTGGTACGAAAGTGTACCATGGGGGTATGAACATAACATATTGTAGGATGGTTGAAATACATGATTGTAGGAATATACGATATGTCATTTACCATATTCATCATTGTGTACCACTATTTACAACTCCTATACCAAGGTGGTACGGAGTGGTACGTTATAGTCCTGTATTTTCTCCCCCATAAATTTGTTGATCCAATAGATCGTTACATCTGTGCAAAAAAATTCAGAATTCGAGTTAAAAACGAAGGTGGTACTGGCTGGTACCAATTAGGGATGGCAATGGGTCAGGTTGGGTCGGGTTTTGTCAAACCCAAACCCATGGGTTTATCGGCCAATTTCGTTACTTTGGTGTATTGTTCACTGTTCAGGACATGATGTTAAAGATCAAAAAGATTGGACATTATGTTTATTATGTGAAAAGTTCAGGTCAAACAAATATATTAACCCTAACATTCAGGTATACGAATATATCATGGAGGTGCTAAATTTACCATGTTGGCATATCATTATCATAAAAAAAAATCTGAGACATATGAGATTAAGAAAATGTCATATTCAAGTACTCACCGTAAAGAGTATATATGAGACGTCACTCATATATGTTTGCTATTAGAATCATATTCAAAATTGTCAAAAAGACTTTTTCCACTTTATCCAAAATATGTTCAATTGAATATTAAAAAGAATTTTTTTATAAATTAAAAGTGAAACTTATAGTTGACGAACTACACTCCTCTCATATGGTAATTTGAATAGTCTAAGAGATAATGTTAGTAAGCACTTGAAAGAAATGATTCATGAAAACCATATTGGTTATTTCCATATACAATGACATGGATATGTCAGTAACTAAGATGTGCAACAATTCTAAGTAAAACTTCAAGCAAATAGAAACAAAGTTGGTGAAGAAGCAACAACAATTATTGTTAATAACAAAGGCCAGGGAACATATGAACATGTTTAACGGTATTATACAACAAGTCAACAACATAATGATCTGGAACTCATAGTGTTTACCAACCAAGTTTAATGGCATAACACATAACTAATCATGTCATTGGCAATATTGACCCCTAGCAATACATAGGCCATAAGAGCAAACTATGGGTATTTGCTAATATGAACTCTGTTCTAAAACAAAATTATTCATCAAACAAAATATATGGTCAACAAAATCTATCGTTCAAAAACCAATAATAATCCACTCATAATTGTGATCAAGGAAGAAAATGGTTGGAATTTAAGTTGTAAATTACGTGCATGGCTTTAAAAATATATATATCAACATTTAGTTCACAACTCACGCAACGAAAATTATTAGCTAATCTTCAATCAAACTAATCTTTGTTTAATCATATGATTAACTAATTGATGAAATTCACAGCGCATATGATCAGTACACATATTGAACAAGGAGAAGTATTTTTCTTAAATATATCAAGAACAATGTCTACCACATTGATCATTCATAGCTCTCATCTTGCTAAATCATCATCATTAGCCAATAATAATACAAAAGTAACATAAAGAACCAACCATGGCAAGAACAATCAGAATGTCGTCGCATAATATTACTAATGTTTCCCTGGGGAACTATCTCCATCCTCATTTTGTGGGTATCATAGCTGTGGCAATCATCTTATTAGTTTGCATGACGATCATTTGTGTTGTGGCGGCTTCCTTGATTGTGGTAATTGTTTACATCCTTTTTGAATTCATATATTGGCGGGTGGTGGAAAACGACAGTGGCCTAGAAATTGAGTCTGATCTCGAGGAAGGAGTCGAGAGGAGAAGAAGGAGATATCGTCAGAGGAAGTATTGTAGAGTGATGATGGAATTGCCCTGTGTCGAGTATGGAAGCGATGGGATAGAGACCACATCTAGAGAATGTGCAATTTGTTTGGAGGATTACAATGGGGGAGAGCCATGCAGAATAATGCCCGTGTGCAAGCACATGTTTCATGTAGCTTGTATTGACAACTGGCTTAGAGTGAAAATTACGTGTCCTGTCTGTCGTCAACGCATATTCAATTTGAGGAATCATAGATGATCCATTTGAATTTAATTTATATAGCCATTTTGTAATATAAAAAATGTAGTCATTGCAAATAGTGTTCTAATTTTTTTCCCCATTTCGTTTGAATCTATCAAATTTGATTGTATTCCTTTTCTTAACATTGATTCGTTAAGGGTTGAGCATATCTTTAAAAATCTCCAAATTCTTTATATGAGTGCGTAAATATATGGTACATACTAACTTCAGATAATTAAAATCTATTAAATTGAAAAGCGGTTGTATGATATAATTCAACAATTATAATTTAAGATTATGTAAAAGCAAACCAATGCCAAGACACCTAATTCATTTTGAACTAAAGGGGAAAGGAAATAGTAGTTAAGTTCAACATTTGTTTCATTTCTTAAACTCTAAATATTTTGAAGTATGTAGTTGAAAAAGAATATGAATTAACTCAAACATGTCGTACACAAGCTGATTTTGAAGCAAAACCACGTCATCTTTTATTCTCATAAGAAAAGTCGGGTGCATATAAGATAATTTATCATGGAGCACAGGTCAAGACTGGTAGACACATATGATGAGTATATGATTTAATGAGAAAATGTTATTTTTCATTATAAACCATAATTTTATAAATATAATTAAATTATTCGAGAAATTGAGGTTATCAACTATTTACAACTCCACCATAGCTAAAATATATGAGACGTCACTCATATATAATTCTCAATACTTATAATGGAAATACCAATAATAGCCACTTCCGTCCAATTATTTGACGGTGTTAACCAAATAACTGACTGGACTAACGGCATTGCTGAGGTGGTGGTGACATTTTTAAACAACATTGCCCCTAAACCCAACTCCGTCTCTATTACAACCTCATCAATAAATAAAAAAATCTATGTTTCCACCTCCTCTCCTCCATCTATGCCCCCAGGTTCTCTTTCACAGACCAATTCCCACCATAGTCTCCTCAATTGAAACCCAGAAACCACTTCATCTAACAGCCATCTCAAAACTTTGAAACCCCAAATCCATCAAAACTTGAAACCCCACATCCCCCTATTTTCTCAATCGACCGCTGCATACCCGTCGTCGTCGCCATCACCATCGTCAATCATCGTCGTCGCCAATCGCCGTCGCCCGCTCCAGATCTCTACACAAATCTGTAACATTCCCAAACCAAACAAAAATCCAATTGAGATATTAATCTCCACCCATGAATCCCACTCTCCTTTATTGTCGCCTGTCGGAGCTTTACGCTCCATAAAGTAGAGGAAGATGGCGGCCAAATGTTGGCGGAGATAGATGGTGAGCAGCCCAGCGGGGACAGATCGACGGCGTCGAGATGGAGGCTGAAATAGATGCTGAGCAGCGTAGCGGGGACAAATCGACGACGCCTAGATGCAGGCGGAGACAGATCAACCACACCCAAAACAGCGATGACGAGCAGAGATTTGGGTGCGATGACAGAGGGGCGAACCGATGGTGGCCAGCAATGGAAGACGATGGTGAGCAGTGCAGCGGGGGAATTTCGATTTGGTCGAGTACCCAAGCAGAGATCCACAAGCTTTTCACCTTTCGATCTACTCCCGCTGGGTAGCCTTCCATCCAGACCACTGCCATTACTCTCTCTCCTACTGGGTCATGAAGATCCGAACCCAGTGCAGGGCAACCCGGGAAAAGGTAAAACCAGAGAGAGGAAAACAACTGGAGCGGCGTGTCCGAGGACGATTGGCGACGGTGATGATTGACAATGGCGACGATGATGATTGACGATGGCGACGACGACGGGTATTGAGATCGTAGGGTCCGTATGCTGTCGCAGCGGTGTCGGCGGGGTCGGTGGTGGGTTGGATCTGGAACGCTGTCGGAGTGGGAGGAGAGGATATGGGTTTGGGGTTGGGGTAGGTGGTGGAAGGAGATGGAGAAGAAAGACTCGACGGCGAGTGTTGGGAGAGGAGAGAGGATGAAGAATTTTTTTTGTCATTTTTATTTATTTTTAAATTAAAATATGACATGGCAAGTATTGTTATATGACATGGCAAGCATTGTTGAGTTGTCACTGATGTGTCCGGTGAGTTGGCAGCCAGGTAAGCGTTTGGTTAATTTGACTAACGGTGTTATTGACGCCGTCAAACTATGTAACGGAAATGGCTATATTTGTCATCGAACTTTCAAAATTCTGGATATTTCTGGTGTTTCTCTAAAAGTGGCTATATTTGTCACAAACGTCAAAGTTTTGGCTATACAAATGAATTTGGCCTTATGTTTTTAATTTTTGAGCATAAGTGAGAGAGGAGGAGAGAAAGACTATATCAACCATGCTATTGAGATACGTGTTTGTTGCATCAAAATAAGAGAGAAGATGCGAGATAGTGATAACGATAAATTTTAAGAAAATTTACTAAAAAAATCCTCTCCAACACGTATATTCAAACGATAACAACATAACTACTTTGAAATCAATCCATTGCACGTATCTCTGTCCGAACTTGCATTGTAACATCATTACCCATTTCAACCACACGCAATCCAAACTACACCATGCATCATCTTCCATCCCTAAAGGAAGTTGTCTACGTATCACATCTCTCACTTGTGTCAAAGAAGGAAACCCCAAAATAAGGCAACTCTCAAACTCACAGAAATGTGAAATATTATAAGAATAAAAAAAAACTCATTTGAAAGGATATTCCGTTCATTAATCCAAGACAAGATGTTCACGTCAAAGAAAGACAACATGGTGGTGAGGGGAGCTAGATTATTCTACATGTGGCTAGCAAACAGGCAACAGCAGCCAATTGCAATCTCCTTCCTGGCCCCTCTTCAGTCTTTAGGTTAAATCTCAACCAGGAGATGCGTTCCAGTGGTCCGCAGTCCGCACCCACAAAAACGACACCATCCCCAACCCCCTCAAGATCCTCCTCCCACACGACACGTGTCACATGCCACCAAAAACGGATTGGATGTGATCCTCCCTAGGGCTGTCAGTCGGTCGGTTTCGGTTTAACCGAAAACCGATTTTTCGGTTTTCGGTTAAACCGAGCCACCACTGACGGCTACCGACCACCGACCGAGAAGGACACCACGGCTAGCCGACCACCGACCGGTCGGTTATCGGTTTTGGTTCGGTTAGCCGCATAAAAAAAATTCAACGAAAAAAATTAATTAAAAATTATTATAAAAAATAAAAAATCCCCCACCACAGAATCCTTATCTCTTTCTCTCTCCTTCCTCCCACCCAAAAATCCCACGGGTCTTCCTTCTCTCTTCTTCTTTCCTCCCAAAAAATCCCCCAGACCCCTTCCTTCCTCCCAAGAAATATCACCAGACCCCTTCTTCCTCCATTTCCACCACTGAATCCTCATCTCCTTCTATCTCCTTCCTTCCTCCCACCCAAAAATCCCACGGGTCTTCCTTCTCTCTTCTTCCTTCCTCCCAAAAAAGCAGAATCGTCATGTCGTCGGAGGGCGTCTCGGCGACGCCGTGGCAGCGGACGATGTGGGGTGAGTCGGAGGCGCGGCAGAGGATCTCGACCTCGCGGAGGAGCAGGCGGCGGGCTGCGGGGTCGGAGTCGGCGCGGACGAGCTTGAGGGCGTGGATCTGGGAGGTGCGGCGGTGGCGGACCTTGTAGACGGTGCCGCCGTTGCCGTGGCCGAGGACGGAGAGCTTGTCGAGGTCGGAGGAGAGGAAGGAGGAGGAAGTGGTGGTGGGGGCGGAGGGAAGGAGGGGGACCGGGAAGCGAGGGCGGCGGTCGGCGGCGAGTTCGGGGAGGCGGAGGTTGAGCTGGCGGCGTTGGCGGACGGCGGCCATTCGGTGAGAAGTGAAAGGGGAATTTGTCTGATTAGGGATTGGGATGTTCTGGAAGTGGAAGGGGTTGAGGTTTTGGTTTATATATTGGGGATAGTTTTGGCCTTTTGGGTGGTTTTGGACGCGGTTTGCTTTGGGGAAGGGGTGGTTTTGGGCGCGGTTGCGGGTCGTTTTGAGTCAAGTGGAAGAGAGTCGGTTAGCCGGTTAACCGGCGGTTATCGACCACGGTTAATCGGCTAGCCGAGCCCCTCCCCCTCTCCCCCGGCAACCGACCGACGACAATAAAGGACGGTTTTCGGTTAGCCGAAAACCGGTCGGTTCGGTCATAACCGACCGGTTAACTGCTAACCGGAAACCGTTCTGCCAGCCCTAATCCTCCCACCTACTGTAGGTGGGACGTTCTTTCAGCGGAGAATATGATATTTGTGTAATGATAATATGATTTACAGGAATACATATTCGTCCAACAAAAAAAATGTATTCTTATAATAGATAGTAGTATGAAATCAAGCCTTCAAGAATATTATATTATCATAACATAAATATCATCATGCTTTAAAGAATATGATATTTATAGCCTTTAAGAATATCATATTCTCATAACATAAATAGCATATTCTTGAAAGCTTGATTTCATACTACTATGTATTACAAGAATACAATTTTCTTGCTGGACGAATATATATTCATGTAAATCATATAGGGCTGGCTATTTGGTCCGGGTTTTTTGGGTTTACCCGAAACCGGACCGTATAACCCGGACCGGAACTGGATAGTAAACAATCCAATCCAATCTTTGGGCTTAGATTTGAGGTAAAAACCCGTTCGGGACCGGATCGAAAACTGGATAAAGACCGGATAAGAGAGCTCAACACCCAAAACTTAAGGGTAATTATTTGCATAAACGGTCACAAACATTTGCACTTAGTACAAAACTTAACCAACTCCTCACCCTTTCAGGCCTTAGACCACTCAAATCCCCACGAGCTCAATATAAAATCAAGACCGAATTGGGACCGGACCGGGTCAAGACCGGAGCGGATCAAGACCGGACTGTATCCAATCCAATCTTTGGTCCTTATATTTTCAAAAAGACCGGACTGGACCAAATCAATTTAGGCTAATTTAACCGGACCGTATAGCCACCCTAAAATCATATACTATATTATAGTTATACAAATAGCATATTCTCCGCGGAGAGTAAGTGGAGAGAACTTACTCATAAGTGAGAGGACCTTATCTTTTTGGAAAAAAACCGGAGCAGTAGCTAGAAAGCATTTTGGCATATAATTTGGGATCCAAAAATAAAAACAAAAACAAAATCAGTAGTAATCTAATCTTCTTCCCCACCACCATTGGCATCTCTGCTCCCGATTCCCAGCATCTCCACTTTTCTGATCCCCACTTCATAAATAAATAAATCCCCTCCACTCTCCTCTCCTCTCCTCTCCTCTCCCGCAAAAACTTCCTCGTAGCTTTCGCCATTAAATAAAAAGGAAAGAAGAACAAACAAACCCCACTCGCTCACTCACTCTGCCTTAGCTTCTTCTCTAGCTACCGCAATAATTATTCGTTTTCCAGGTTCCAATCATGAACGCGGTGGATTCAGCCCTGGACCCGCTGGTGTTCGACTACATCAGCTGTTCGGTTTCCGACATCCTCAACAACCTCTGGACCTGGGTCGCCGTCCTCACCGCCGCCGTCAGCTTCTGGAGGATCAGAACCGCCGCCGCCACCGGGGAAGCCGCACCCAGCACTCCGCCCCGTAATTCCTCCTCCTCCTCCATCCTCCGTCTCACCCTCCACGTCCCCGCTCCTGCCTTTGTCCTTCGTCGCAAAACTAGCAGTGCGGCGCCGGTGCCCGATGAAGTTCAGACGGAGGCTCCGGTGAGCACCCCGAAGACGCCGGCTTCGAGTCCGATTGTCTGCGACGACGACGACGTGGTCACGAAGGGAAAGTTCGTGGCGTATTATCGAGAAGAGGTAGAGGTAGAGGAGGAGGAGGTGGTGGGCGGCGGCGATAACGGCGGCGACGGGAGTGGGTGGTGGGAGACGGAGTTGAGGGCATGGTTGGGAAGAGGGGAATTGGGATGGTACAAGTACCAGGACTTGACGGCGATTAACGGCAACGTCGTCAGGTTGTGGGACGGCGGTAGGAGCGGAGACGGAGAGAGTTATGATGGCAGCAGCAAATGCAATCCACGCTGTTGTTTAGTTTGGTAGGAGGGGCGGGGCTCGTCGTTTTGTCGTCATTTTCAATTTTTAATTTAATTTACCTAAAATTTGAAATATGCCATAAGCTAAAAGCTTCTTGGTGAAGAAATTGTATATATAATAAAAATGATGAAAATGTAAGTCAGTTGAAGAACAGAGCCGTCTGAAAGTAAAGAATGGCGCTAGCTATTTGCAATTGTCTGAGTTTCATTCTTCCTACTCCATGTAACAAATGTATTCGTACTTGGTGCAATAGGGATGTGGAAAATCCTAACTCCCTTGGGGTTGGTTTGGAACCTTTCATTATCGATCGAAATGGTGTATTACCAGATTATGTGTACTAAGATTATATGTACACTAAGAGGCGTGCGTTTTAAAAATTTATTGTTTGGAAGTTGGAACCATAAAATAATTATACATTAAATGAGCCACGAATACTAAATCTTACAACAAAGATAAGATTCACTATACATAATTTTCCGTGAATTAGAAATGCATCTTATGTTCTCAACATATACATGCATTCTGTAATTACATCAAGTTAGATAAGTTTATATTCTAAAGGATACTTGTATACCGAGAATATAATGATTAGAATTGGAGGTTAAAAAAAGAGCTTACTTCTTTATTTCTAGCATCCTGCTAACCACAAGTCATAATTTCGTAAGTACATTTCTATTCTCTGTATCTGATGGATGCATGAACAATAATACTACAACGACAATGCACAAGAATAATGAATTGTAACAATAGAGAGAAACTAAAGATGTTTGTCCAATGAACCTCTAGAGTATAATTAAGTTTGTTCCAATTGCAATTTCCCACCCACTTAATTATGATTTGCTTATGAGATCTTTCTTTACTTTATTTCCCGATACGAAAAGAAAAGTGACCTTTGCTGGTAAGAAGTAGGATTTTCAATCAACCAAAGAGTTTATGAACAACTCGACATTTGACTCAAGAAAAAAATCTTACGATATTCGTTTTGTTTTTAAAGTAATCGGCTTGTGAACAAGCTCGTTAATTAACGAGTCGAGCTCGAGCCATGACATGTTTAGTTCGATGGGTTCGCGAACAAGCTCGAAAGACTTTCGAATTTTATTTTGAATCAAGTTCGAGCTCGAAGTTGAACTACAATCAATATTTTATCAGTTGAACTCGATTATCCCTCGTTAACCTCTTTTGGCAAGCTGGGCTCTAGTCAAACTCGAGCTACTATTTTTGTAAATGAGCTGAACTCGAGCTTGCCTATTAAAATTTGTGTTGAACTCAAGCCAAACTCGAGTTTAGGATTATTTTAACGAGTCAAGTGCAAATTATCACAAAACTCAGTCGATTCAGATCATTACTAGACATAGTCAGAAGCAATTAACCAATATAAAAATATATATGTATATGGTATTGGTACGAACATAGTGTGTTCCCAACAACTTCACCTACTTCCGGAGGCCATTAATATTAATTTTGGGCTAATTAAGCAGCAGGCTGGCAGTAAGACTTGTTGCAGTACAGTACTGGAGTGCGGGACTAGTCAATTGGAATCCCTTCTTGATATTCGAATCTACCATATGGACTTTTTTTGCGGACGATAGAGTGAGATTACTGATTATCCAAATTATATAACTAGGTTTTGTTGTTGTTTATAATGGCAAAATTATTATTATATATAAACGTAAAGATCAGTTACTGTTGCATAATAATTTACATTTTGATACTCCAAATTTAATTAAATCACAACTTAGTTACTATAATGTACATTTTACATTTTGATACCCCAAATTTAATGTTAATGTAAAGATCAGTTACTGTTGCATAATAATTTGCATTTTGATACTCCAAATTTAATTAAATCATAAATTAGTAACTATAATGTACATTTTACATTTTGATACCCCAAATTTAATGTTAAACGTAAAGATAAGTTACTGTTGCATAATAATTTGCATTTTGATACTCCAAATTTAATTAAATCACAACTTAGTCACTATAATGTACATTTTACATTTTGATACCCCAAATTTAATGTTAATGTAAAAAAATCATTGAACAATTATATTTTGGTATCTAAATTATATTATATGTAAATGTAAAGTTCAATTTGCATTTTGATACCCCAAATTTAATTAAATCACAACTTAGTCACTATAATGTACATTTTACATTTTGATACCCCAGAATTAATTTTAATGTAAAATCATTGAACAATTATGTTTTGGTATCTAAATTATATGAGATTTTCGTACCTACACGTTTTTAAATTTACATATTGGTCCAATGTTTAGATTAAACTTGAATCCAATCCACCAATCCTTTTGAATCAATCCACCATAACATATTTTGTTTGTACAATACAAGATGTTGTCCTTTTGAATCAATCCACCATAACATATTTAGTTTGTGCAATACAAGAGGTATCACTCAACTGTAGGAGAAGATTCGACTATTTATACTTGCTCATTACGTGAAACATTAAATAAATGATAAAAGAGAGACGACTCTAAAATATTGCAAGAGCGAATTTATAAACTCATTTAGTACATTTACGGGGTACTAAATAAACTTCTAATAACTGCATGCAACAAAATATGCGACATCTATAAGCAAGTATCAATAAATCGCTACCGTGAAAAGGGTTGGTCAAAACATTTCCATTATCTACTTCCTTTTCGTTTCATTTTTCACTCGGCTTTCATAACCCTTTCTTTATTTCTTTCTTTGCCTTCTTCGTCTAACCCTAATTAGAATACTATTTTTATGTATTTTAATCGCAAGTATGAACGAGTCCATACACGACTCACCAACAGTCTAGAGAATTAATAATTGAACCATGAACCACTAAATTTTTTAGTTCAATGTCGAGTCCAATTAAAAATAAATATATATGGTTATTACTTATTAGAAAGTCATCATTTTCCACTATGCGATTTGAGGGCGTGAAATTTTAAGCGAGTTCCTGTTTGTATTCATTTTGCTTTTCTCTAGAGTTTTTCTTTTTCACCCTGGCTAAAATTTTCAACAATTATATATACATGGAATGTTAGCTAGGTATCTATACATATCAAATAAATAGTTTTCATTTTTTCTATAAAAAGGTAAATAATTATTATCTTAAATACATCACCATAAAAGGAATTAAGCCTCAAAATTACAGTTCGATACCTAAACTTAATAGATCTTTAGATTTATAACCTAATGTTTTTGGCATATAAGTCCTCAAAATATTGATGGAACATTATATTTTAGTACCTAAAATTTTTGTGTATTACATTTTGGTACATAAACTTTTGAAGTTCTACAAATAGGTCTAATTTTTGTATGTGTAGTTAAAACACCCTCGAATAAATGGGTATCCATACCCAACTTATACACATTGAGATTATGGATGTAAATATTCATACCTACCCAAACCCATCTACAAACTTTCAAACCCATATATATTTACCCATGTCCTACCCATAATCAATGGGTCTACTTGGATTTTAGTAAATATCATTTACTAGCCAAAATTTTTTTTAAAAAATTAAATGGGATGTTGACCGCTATATATTTCTTTTCAGTCAATATCATATTGTCACGTCAACATTATTAACAAAACTGCTAACAAAAAATTAATTTTAGCATAATAATACTAACAAAAAATAAATTTTAGCCTAATAATACTAACAAAACACCATAACGGGCCACATAATACATGTCCATATGCCATCTCTGCCCCGCGACAAGGCGCGGTATCGCAACCTAGTAATATATATATAAAGCTTAAGTAGTGTTACGGTTGCCTAACTTCCTATATAGCTTTGCTAATGTACACTACTGTCATGTAGTTTAGTAACCTCTAGGCTAATGGAAGCACACCAATTAATATTATTCCCAAAGCTATTAACTTATTGAGGTACCATTTAACATGGATTTTGGTAGTACTATTTTAATGTCCCATAACCATAAATATCATTTTCTCACGTAAACCATAAACCAACCTTTAATTATAGATCATGATTTTTTATTAAACTTTATATATATATATACGGTGGCGGTACCCTGGGTGAAATCCGGGATACTACATACATGAGTATGAAAACGCTATTTAGACCTTGAATTAGCAGGATTTTTGTGCCTAATACTATACCCTAACCCTTAATGAGTGAACTCTAGGTCCTAATGATCTAAATCATAAACTATAAACAGATGGTGTATTCATTTTTTCTATATTTGGACGAATCATAACCGTCGATTATTGTTTCTAATTAAATTGATCTTGGGGTATAAGATTTAGAGAACTAAGACCTAGATTTTGATCTTTAAGGGTTAGAGTATAGTATCATGTCCGAAAGTTCAGTCAATTCAAGGTCTAGATAGCATTTTCATACTCAAGGTATGCGGTACCCGGATTTCACCCTGGGTACCGTAGAACTCCCCACACACACACACACACACACACACACACACACACATATATATATATATATATATATATATATATATTGGTTGACAAAGTGTATCATTGAAAATTTGACCAGAAAGGTCGTTTTGTTGTGATTAATCATTTTCATTGGCTTGCGATACACTTCAACTTTTTGTGGGATTTTACTTAACAACCACGATGGACTATAATCGGAGACTGTAATTTCCATAAAAAATAGTTTTCTCTTGACGCACTTCCTCCTCTTCTTATGAAGAAAAATAACTCTGTTATCATATGTTCTCCCTACTTGATTTAAGAAAATTGATTTAGATCCTAGGGTCTTATTTTATTTTTATTTTAATATTTTCATTTTTGGAGTGAGTTTTAATGTTATCTAATGTGAAACTTATTATGTAGTACTCAAAATAAATTATCATTTTTTCATTCAAAATTTCAATCACTGTATAACATACCTATTCCTTATAAAATGCACACAAAATTTCATTTAAAATTTTAATCATTGTATAACATACCTATTCAAAATCAGGTAAATTGAGTTGCTCCTGATTAGTGATGACGTTGAGGCGGACGAGACGGGGTACCTCAA